TGGTCCTTTGCCAAAGAATATCTGGAGTCGTTGCAAGATCTTCTGGCCAAGTTCTAGAGTTCTCCAACCGCGTCAGTGATTTATTAGAGTTGTTTTTCTAAGACACTGCTAAAAGGATCCACCAAGCTCTTTTAATCCAATTAATTCTTCCTTTTCTTGCCCTTTTTGTTTACTTGGTTTGTTATTGCTGAGAACTTTGAGTGCCAACGCTTCAGAATGTTCAATGTTCCTTTGAGCTCCTTAGCTGGAGAAAATCCTTTTTCTTTTTGTTTTACTAAATTTTGGTTTAAATGGTTTTTTTTCCTGTTTGAAATAAAACAATTTTTTTCAAATTCATCCAGCGATTTTCTTGAGAAACCTCTTTTTTTTCATCGTGGTTTTTTTTTCACCCGCCCCATTGAGCACAGACTTGAGAGTCGATATTTACACCGGACAAAATGATGATGCACGTCCTCCAAAGAAGACGGCATCTCTCCAGGGTTTAGGTGGCTGTTTGCTTGCTCCTCCGCGTGGAGCAGGACTTCCCCGCGTGGCTCAGCTCCACTCTTGGGTTTTTTTCAAGGCTGTCGCCTTGATTTCCCCTTCCCTGAGAGAAATCCCGCTGTCCAGGAGGGTGACGCAGAGACTCCCAGGGATGCTTCGGCACTGGGACTGTAGGGTTGATGTGCGGGGTCAAAAATCGGTGGATTTTTCACAGCCGATAAGGGCGTGTGGTGACAGAATGAGGGTGCTGAGACCCTGGCCCGGGTTGCCCAGAGCGGCTGTGGTTGCCCCATCGCTGGCAGTGCCCAAGGCCAGGCTGGACGGGGCTTGGAGTGACCTGGGCTGGCGGGAGGGGTCCTTGCCCGTGGCCGGAGGGTTGGAACTGGATGATTTTTCAGGTCTGTTCCGATCCAAACCACTCCATGAGTCTGTGATTGCAGCAGCGTGGGTTCGTGCGGGAAAGGGTTTGAGATTGAAGAACGCCCCAAGCAGATCCCAGCTTCCCCTCCTCCCTCCCAGGAAACAGATCTCTCCCCCTCGCTGCCTGGCTGCCGGCTCTGGGGGGGTTATTCCTGCACCTCCCGAGCGTCGCGGTCCCTGCGTTGGCCCCCGAAGCGTTGGCCGTGCCTCGGGGGGACAGCTCTGAGCTTGTGGACCCCGGTGACTCTGGGCTCGGTTTGGGCTCCCAAAGGGCCTCTCCGCCCCGACTATTCCCAAATAACCCCCGGCCCCGGCTGCGGAGAGGCAGATTGCAGGCAAACACAGCGCTTGCGTTGGTTTT